CTGAGAATTTAAAAAAAACACACTACTGAACTCTGGGGAGGAAGATAAAACAGAGAGAGGGAAGGACAAGAAGGACAGAGATCTGACCCCAAAAAGTGCCGCCTTTTTTGTGTTCTTGACTACAGAGCTATCTCTCCATTGCTTTCTTTGTGTGCTGCCTGGAAGCAAAATGAATGGCCAAAGAAACAATTCTTTGAATTTTGTTCAGCAGAACTAAACAACTCTTTAAAGTGTTTTGTTGGAGAAGAAGGCAATTTATTGTATTGAAGAACAATTAGTACTGAAGTCTTACTATGAACCACAGTTACTGTTACCCAATAGAATGTAACTGGATAATGAATCTCATATTATGCTTCAATTTTAAGTACAATTTTCACACATAAATTGTACTTTTCTCTGATTAAACATTATCCTTTATAGTAAAAGAAATGCATACAAGCAAAATTATGTATTTTCCACACAATGGCATATTTTTTGTAATTTGTTCCATAACATTTAATCACCATTAATTACATGCAAACATATGTGTTGTTGTTCTTTTTCCTCTAGGGAACAGCCCTGAAACAGCCATAGCAAAGGAAACTTTGCATAGAGAATTGTTGTCCCTGTTGACCAAAGTGAATCAGATAAAAGAACTTTTATCAAGTCCATCAATTCGGATGAAAATACACAAGGAACTGCTTGAACAATGACAGCTCAGTGACAGCATCTGGGAAAATGTCACTGATCCTACTTCTTTAGTGTCTTAATTTTTAACTGCAAATTATACAGATTTATTTATAGTATAAATTATTTACATACCCAGTTGGCATTGCCTTTTTTTTAGAGGAAGAGACATACCTGTATCCAAATAGTTGAAAGTGATAGGAAAATAAATAGATTATATAATACATAAGCACTCTTTTCTAACATCCATCCTATTTGGTGAGGGGTGAGGAAATCCAACTGAGTCAGAAGAAGGCAAAGTCTATTGTAAGTAGGTACATAAAGACCTCTAATGCTACCAGTATTTATCAGTACATGAAAATACAGTGTAATGCTGTAGTATTGATTGGGAAAAGTCACAATTTGTGACATGATTAATCTCATCCTATGCATTTTTTGCTGGCACAGGAATGTCAATGGACAAGATTTAGAAGCAGACTTTCATTGCTTAGAGTATAACATTTAGTGCAAATGAAAAACTGAGTTAGGGACTCTACTATGTGGAGTGGAATTGCATGCACTGGTCTCTTGAATGAATTATCTCATCTCATTAGCCTTATGTTTTGCTTTATTTTTCTTACCATTTACCATGTAGATCAGATCATGTTCTCTCTTAGTCCATGTTTATGCTATGATAGATAATACAATTGATTTTTTTCTATAGCTGTAAACTTTATAACAAGGCAACAAGTTCTATTAAGTGGCTTTAAACTGTACCACTTAGAAGAACATTTTGTATTATCTTCCTGTCTTTTATCTATTTATGGTAACATTTTGTTTTTGGACTGCTTATTTTTTTAACACATCAGAATTTGAAATATTATGTACAGATTCTGACATACAGCTTTTGCTATTGTTTACATGCAAAACAAGATGGTTTAAAATGTTTTAATATTTATTGTAAAATTGCAGATGGTCTTTATTTAATCATTTGTTACGAGTATGCTGATTTTAAAAAGAGGAAAAAAAATTCAATGACTTTTGTGAACATAGTTTCTGAAATTTGAAAAGGGCTAAAAAGGGGGGGGGGAGTAAGACAATTCATATTAATATTTATACAAAGTGTATTTTCTCTGAATGCAGATTTGTGCTTCCAACAGAATTATAAAAAGTATGTGGCATGCTAGCCTCTGTCTTCTACCTCTACAGGCAAATGGTGAAAGAAGGTAGTTGATCTCTTCAAATGCCTTAATGGTTCATTTAATTCTCTTGCTCTTATTTCACCTTAAAATCAGTTTGCTGGATACTTATTTTTGCTTCTTCCAAATTCATTCATGGAAGCCACATTTCATACTTAAAATTAATTGAACTTAGGAATGCTGCTGCTGAAGTTTATATGATATCTGTCTTTGCAGCAGTATATGTGGGGTCCAGGGCTGACATCTACTTCTCCAGGACGTCAGCACTCCAGAAATTGAATACGGATGTGCCATGGCCTGAATGTTCTGAAGAGAATGCTACCTTTTATGACTTTACAGAGATTTCTGGGAGAGTAAGAACAGAGAGATACACCTGATTCACCATGCAGATTGGCCAAAAGAAAAAAGAGGAAGAATTGATGTTGTGTGCGCAGGTCCTGATGCAGACAGGATTTTAGCATTATCAGAGAAGCCTAGGATGGTAAGCTTCATGTGGATCCAGCAGTTAATAGGAGGAAAATAAAGGTTAATGATAGATAATTCTTTAGCATGTTTATGGAAAATTCTTTCCCTGCATTTTTCAGCTATTGTCCAGCTCTTGTGAGATAGACAGGAACCAATAAGAAGCCGTGTTTGTAAGAAAGGGTGAGATTATAAATTTTGAAGAGAAGGATTTTTTTTTCATCTAATTACTTTTTGTAATGTAAAATATATTTGATAAGGGTGATGTTTTCCCTATTTCCAAAGCCAAGATTTTAAACAGGAAAAAAAAACCCTGCTTGACATGACATTAGAAAGAGCCAGGATCTTTGCTATGCTCAGTTGGCATAATCCCAGGGGTAAAGTGCCTGGACAAATAGCTTAATTGCTAGAATAGAAGTTTGTGTGCTTTGTCTTGATGCCGTAAGTGACAACCAAAACCAAAATGTAAACACACAAATAATAAATTCTTTATTTCACAGGCTTGAGAATACAGTGCTCACCAAAACAAATGCCAACTGTCTCACGTCACCGTCAGCCCTGACTACTTTTTTCCCAGACAATTTATTCCACTCAACCACAACATAGCAGCATCAATGACAATATATATGAGCTACCTTCAGTCCCCCGACTGAGTGCCGCTTAGAGGCTTTTCATAATGTCTCCTGTGGATGGTGGACATGTTGCTGGCCGTCCAGATCCTCCTCCACTATCACTGTTTTGTACTGGGAGAAAAGGGGCAAAACCATCTTCCTCATTTAAACTGTGCTCTGGACAGCCTGCTAGGGAGGAAGGTGGATAAGTACATTCTTGGCACGCTGCTTATATTGCATGCCAATAATTATGCTGGTCTATGAGTGTAATAAAGATTTGATTTGATTTGCATGCCAATAAAAACGGCATATAACAACACTTCCTTTTTAGGATAGCTGTTTGTAGCATTCTATATGTAATGGTGTGACCTAGCTGAATAACTCTCAGAAGAAAATTGGTAACCTCTTGGAGAGGAACATTAGGAATATACTAACTAAGCACCATACATATAAATTGCCAAAGGAAGACATACCAAAAAAGCAGCTATTAGAGTTTTTTCCTTGGAAGCCTCAGTTGTGTGTGTGTGGGGGGGGCTATCAGATGGGGAGGCTCCTGTGCCATCAATCAGAATATATTGTTCAGTGATTCTGTCTTTCCTTCCTTTCTTTAAAGAGAAAAAAAAGTCAAAAATGTTGTCTGTTTTCATATTGGTAGTACTGGACTCCACTCCATAACATTTTGTGAAGGAGACAAGGTGACTTAATTAAAAGGGAAAAAAAACTAGTCTGGAATCCCTCTTAATTGCTAGACTTAAGTCATTTCCTCGAATTGTTGCAACCCAGCTTCAAGCATGCCTGCCACATTAAAGCAAACACACTTTGTTTTGTATTCTGCTTTTATTGGCACATTGGGTTTCCACATAGTGTTATTCTTACATAAAACCTGTTTGACAGATCTGATTCTGGACCAATTTAACCATAATAGCCTATGATAATTACATTGCTATCATAACAAATATAATAGGCCAAACTGATCAGAGAACTTAAAACTGTATCACTTGGTTTTCATCCATTTTGTGTTCTGATATGCTTGAGTAGATCTGTACAGACTAAGAATGAGAACAGATTCAGGTTGGGTTAGAGTTGGCTTTGGTAACAGTACAACACATTGAGAAAAAATAAAGATTTAGCTCCATATACAGATGATTCGTTCTATCAAATTGTCCTTTGATTTCTAAAAGGCACTCTATGCCATTCAAACATGAATGTTTCATGAAATACCACAGTATTTCTTAAATACTGAAAATACTGTTAATATTTTTCTAACAGGGCTCATTACAAAAAGCCATTTGGTCATTTAATTCTTGTGAAAGACCTAACACTGTAGTGGTTTTGCTTCACTGTTCTTTTGATCAATATATACAAAAAGCACGGCTTGCACAAATCTCATTTATATTCTTCCCATGTTAAATGTCTTCCTAATGAGAACATTTGTACTACAGAGAAACTGATTCTGCAGAGGCTAAAATGTACTTTCACATCCAAACAATAATTAGAATTCTGTTGAGGATTAAAAAAAAATAAAGATAAACTATTACTAAGAAATATCTGCAATGAAGAAAGCAGAATATTACAGGAATAATAAACTCAAACGTTCCTCTTGTCTCTACATTTTTTCAGTTTCCATTAGTGTTTTGATTAAATAAAGCAAATATTACATGTCTTTGCTGAAATTCTGGAATGTTTGGAGGGCATACTGATGCATATGATGCATATTATGCATGTAATACAGGCAGTTTCCAGTTTAAGAACAAGTTCCATTCCCAAGATCTGTCCTTAAGTCGAATTTGTATGTAAGCTGAACCAGTATTATTGTATAATACTGTATAAGTAATATTGTGTAATTAACTCAAACCGTTGTCAATTTAACTTGAATCATTGTGTATTTAACTCAAATTTTGCTACAATAGGCTCCGTTCTTAACTATGGGTTGTCCTTAAACCAGGCATTCTTAACCCAGGGACTACCTGTACTTGAAAATCATAGTCACAAATTGTTCATCTCTGTAAAAATTAAGCTGATATTAAAAATGAAAACAATTGGAAAAAATGAATCTAACATTACACTTAAAACTTCTAATTTCGGGGCATTTAGCTGTAATTTTATTCCATGTAGTTCATATGTAACTATATAAACTGATTTAAATGGTTGATCCACTGTTTCTTTTTCCATGTCAAACTGCAGATAGAAGACTTTCAGAACTCCCTAAATATACCTGCCTGCCCACCCCCCCACACAAAAGTCATCAGAGAAAAGGGTAAGCTAAAGTCCTTTTCTCTGACACCCAGTTTCCTATATGCAGGGAATGTTTTAGAGAAGATGTGTTCTAATGTAGTTTGTTTATTTGCAGTCTAAAGTTATATATCAAAGACTGCTATTTTTAGTTTCCAATTCAATTCTCATATGAATGTTTGAAAGTGAGTAGCATAATTAAATGTATTTCTACCTGCAATTTCCTGTCTCGTGAGATATTAAGATTGCCAAAGTTAATATTCAATCTCTGCATACCCATCACACTATTCTTTTTCAAGTAACCAACATTATGGAAAGTAGGGGTGGGGGGAGAATGAGAAGCACTGAGCAAAGATATTAAATGCAAGAGATGAGAAAAAGAAATGTAACAAAATCTAGGTTACACCAAGACCATTCACTAACTTCTCCATACTTTTCGAGCAAACCATACTTGTTTCATAACAGCTATATGCTGCTTATTCTTTATACTTTGTTTCTCACTTTTTGAGGTTCTCATCAACTCCATCTAGCTGTGACTTTTTCATTTTTCCCCTTCCTCTTGACCCATTTACTCTACCATCATATATTTGTGATTCAGTCTTTATTTATACTCTGTATATGAAACAACCTTAATATGTTTCTTTCATACTAGCCACTCACTTTTGGATTCAGTCCACATCCATTCAATCCACTCATTCTTGACCCTATCTCTCCTTGTTTTATCACCACATTTCTTAAATCACATGTTCCCACTGCATCTCACTTTTATGTTCTTTCATGCTACCCCCAATTTTCACTTCCATATAAGTAAGCTGTAGCAATTTTCACTTCTTTTGGCAGATATCAGTTCTACATTCTACCCATTATTTTTCTACCAGCATTTACAGTTCTTAAAACTTCTCCATCTATTCCATCTTTAGTAAACATTCTACAGAAACACACATATTTATCTACTTGCTCTACTTTTTCACCACTGATGTGTAATTTATAAGTGTTCTTCTCAATTTTCCTTGTCAAACCTTGGCCTTCATGCATTAATTTTCAGATCTATATTTTTATTACATCATACAGTTGAATATTTGCTTTCAGGTGTCATCTCCATACGTGTGCATATGTACACATTAATGTCCCCAACAACACTTCTAACATCACTGCAAATATTCTTTATGCATTTATTCTTAAATATATTTAATAACAAAGATATATAATACACACTTACTTCCTGCTAGTATTGAATTATTCATTAACCAATTTATTCTCATAGATGCTTTTACTTCCATCATGTACCATTCTTAATGTATTCCACAACCAATTTTCAGTTATTCAAATATTGCATAATTCAAACATTTATTTTGCTACTTTCTCTAAATTACAACTTTCTCACATTCACTTCTCTATGAGCAACATTTTGAATTGCACATCTCTATCTAGTATAAAAATTTCATTTCCCAAATTTACTAATTGTTACTTCTCATATCATTTTTCCAAACATACTTTACAAACTAATCCACCTGCAGTGTTTGCATTTACGATTACTACTCTTCCCTTTATATTACAATATGTGCCA